TTGGCAGCGGCTGGAATGGGATGTCTGTCCCGGTAACATCTTTAATCCCTTTGTGTATCGCTCTCCAGAAAGGTTCGATGCGGGGGCACGACCACCACATGTGGATCCCAGAGCCATCCGCATCTCCACACCTCCAGCACTCTCCTGAGATGGACTCGTGGACATGACGAAGGATGTCCGGAGTTCTATACTAGCGTACCAGTATCTTGTAGTTGCACTCCTGGAACCTGGAGCAGATGGTCCCCCTGTGCGTCAATTGGAAGATCTTTTGCCATTCAGAGGTAGATAGCTCGACCCCTGCTTCCCTCTCCCACCGTGCCGTGAACCCTGGTGGGGCCTGGTCTTCGCCACTCTGCAACATGGAGTAGAGTTGCGCTATGCCATGGGTGAGATGCTGTCTGGCGGCACAAATTTGTTCGAAGTGGGACAGTGGGCGGTGGAGGTGCGCCTTCCTAGTTAGCGAGGTTACATAGGTTTTAAGCTGGTAGTACCGGAAGTTGTCCAAGCCGCTGGGTCCGCGGTCTTGGAGTAGCGTAGCCAGCGGTTTAAGGTTCGGACCATTACACCATTGATGCAGGTAGATCCAGTCCGTGGCCCCAAAGTTCCTCAGATCACCTGGGGAGAGTCCACCTGCCAGTCTTGGGTTATGCGTCACGGGCGTAAGTGGATTTGGCGATGACGTGAGTTGTTGAGAGAACCAGATGCCACACCAGACCTTCAGAGTCGCATCCACCAAAGGGTTGCCCGTTCGCAGTTCCTGAAACGTGGCATCCCCCAGCCACAGCTGGGACGGTATTTTGCCTCCCCCCACCTGTTGCTTTTCCATGTCTACCCACCGCTTCCCGCTAGGGGCAGCGTGCCAGTCTACCAAACGAGACAAGTGTGTAGCCCGGTAGTAAGTAAGGACCGAAGGCAAGCCCATGCCTCCATCACTTCTAGGACGTTCCAGGATCGACTGCCGAATGCGGGCGGGTCTCTGGTTCCACACGAACTGCTTAAAGGCGGATGACAACGTTTGGAAGAAGTTCCTTGGTATAATGACCGGGATCGTCTGGAACAAGTACAATATACGGGGCATAACATTCATTTTAATGGCATTTATGCGTCCGAACCAAGATATATATTGGGGGGCCCAGCGCTTCATATCTTGTAGTAGGGTTGTGAGTAAGGGGGCAAAATTCATGGAATAAGCTTGAGATAGATCACACGGTATCCAGATGCCCAGGTACCGTAGTTTGTTCAAGCAAATCCGGAAGGGGAAGTGCGCCTGGATGTGTCTACGAAGTGCCGGGTCTCGTGTGAGTGGCATCAGTTCCGACTTGGCCAGGTTGAGCTTCAGGTTAGAAACTAAGCCATAAAGTCGGAAAGCTTCTATTAGGTTCGGTAGCGAGATTCTTGGCTGTTCGAGGAGGAAGAGCATGTCATCGGCGTATGCCGCCACCCGATGCTCCTCCCCCCCTACCAGGCACCCCGCTATGCCCCCGTCTCGCCTCCCCGCCTCCAGAAAGGGCTCCAGTGTGAGGGCAAACAGGAGGGGGGACAGCGGGCAGCCCTGACGCGTGCCATTGGAAATCCGGAACTCACCCGTAAGTGCTCCGTTCACCCGTATACGCGCCGTTGGTTCCGTGTACAGCGCCGCAACCCATGCCCTTAGACCTGGTCCAAACCCCATGCATCCCAGGGTCTCCTGTAGATAAGTCCAGTCAACTCTATCGAATGCCTTCTCGGCGTCAGTAGAAAGGAGTACCATCTCCCTCCCACTGGTTCGAGCTACGTGGACCGCGTTAAGGGCCCTAATGGTATTGTCTCGGGCCTCACGGCCGGGTATGAAACCGACCTGGTCCGGGTGCACGATCTCCGGCAGGGTCCTGGCCATCCGTAGTGCCAGAGCTTTAGCAAACACTTTAAGGTCCGCATTGAGCAATGAAATTGGTCTGTAACTGGCACAGTCCATGGGGTCTTTGCCCTCCTTCGGGAGGATCGTAACCGTTGCCCTCAATGTGTCTTCATGAAAGCGGCCTTCCTCCCGCAAGGAGTTTAGCCCTGCGACCAGTCGGGGTAGAAGGATATCCCTGAACGTCCGTAGATAAGAAGCTGGTAAGCCGTCCGGCCCTGGTGCCCTGTGAGTCTTGGTGGCCTTCAGCGCTGCAGCGAGTTCCTCCACCGACAAAGGAACCTCCAGTTCCGCCTCCTGCTCCGGGGTGAGTCTGCATGTAACATGGGTTTGTAAGTACTCCACTATCCTCTCCTTGTGTTGCCGTACCTCTGATGCTGTGCAGTGTTTCGTTTGGTCGTAAAGAGCCGCATAATCCTCTTGGAATGCCGACAGAATGCCATTTGGGAGGCGTGTAATATCCCCATTCCCCGTGCGTATTTTATGGACATGGAGCATCCTGCGCTTTTCACGGAGCATCCGGGCTAACAATCTCCCGCACTTATTGGAGTGTTCGTAGAAGAACCTAGAGGCCTTCCTAGCGGTGAGCAATAGCCCATGCGACAGAATCTTTTGCAAGTCCCTACGTGCCTCCACCAGTTGGAGGTAAGTGTCCTCGTCTAGGGTTTGCTTATGAGTTCCTTCTAAGTCAGCGATACGCTTGGTCAGGCTGGAAATGCGAGCTCGTCTGTCCTTTTTGCGTCTGGTGCTCTCGGAGATGAAGAAGCCCCGGATGACGCATTTGTGCGCCTCCCAAAGCCTTAGAGGAGTCGTATCCGCGGTATCGTTGGTGGTGAAGTACTCTGACAGGGCACGTGTCGCAGACTGCGTGAGTGCCAAATCATCAAGCATAGTTTCATTGAGCTTCCATTGTCGTTCACTGGGCTTATATAGCGGGGAATTAGTATGAACCAGGACCGGAGCATGATCCGAGTGGCCTATAATGCCTATTTCCGCTCCCTGCAGAAGGTTCAAAAATTCTTGTGCCAGGAAGATATAGTCGATACGGCTGTATTGTGCGTGCACCGCAGAGTAGTGGGTGTAGTCTCTCCCCTCCGGGTTGCAGGCCCTCCAACAATCTACCAAGCCGACTTTGTGCAAGGCACAAATTGTCCAGCCGGGGGTCCAGCGGCACATTGAGGTCGCTGCCAAGGACCAGGAAGCCCTCCCGGAATCTCTCTAGTTTGGCAAGTGTTCGGGATAGGAAGGTGTGCTGGCCCCTATTTAGGCAGTATATGCAAGCGAAGGTATACACATGATCCGCTATGGTGCCCTTTAAGAATAGGTATCTCCCCATCGGGTCCAATTGGGACGCCAAATGAAGGAAAGGCGTCGTCTGGGCGAAGAGAATAGCCACCCCCGCTTTTTTGGCGGTTTGGTGATTAGCGTAAAATCCCAACGGGAATCGCCGATTCTCCAGTTTAGGTGCATCTCTCCCCTTGAAATGCGTCTCTTGCAGGAACGCCACGGATGCTTTTGCGGCTCAGAGCTGCCGCTGCAATTGTGATCGTTTTTCCGGAATGTTAAGCCCATGAACGTTGTTAGACCAGTAGGTCAGCCGCGCCGGAACGAAGCCCCGACCGGGTGCCATCGCTGCAGCGGCGGAGCGCCCCCGCCCCGGTACAGCTGGGAGCGTGGGTAAGGAAGAATGTGGGAGGTCCAGTGCTGATAACAGTAGGACTTAGTCTCACCGCCCTCCGTGGGCAACGCCGACCCTGAGCCGGGAAAGTATAATCCTCACCCCGGGTTAGTATGCCCGTGTGAGGAACCCCGGCTCTATTTACAGTGCTGGTCTGTCACAGTAGGGAACAAAAGGGCCCCTCACTGTCTTGGCGTTTCCGTGGAATGTAGTGGTTGTAACTGCCTCAGTGTCCGTCTGCCGTCACCCTGTGTGTCTAACGTGCAAGAATCCAGAGGCTAAAACACAAATAACTGAGGAAAACCATGTGAACTGCCCCATCTAACAGCCCTCGTGGGGGAGCGGCTTGCGTGAGCCCTCAACCCACCCCCAGCCTGCGCCCCCTGTGTGCAACCAACCTGTCTTGGGTCCCCGCCCCTCCCCCCTTTGACAGTAATAGAGTAAGCTAAGAGTACTCCTCTCTTTAGCCCCCTGCCAAAAAAAAACAAAAAAAACCCAATTCCTCACAACCCCGGGTCCCCAGGGATCGCCCATCTGCCCAACCGGTGCCTAGATGACCACATAAGGGTAGGATGCCCATTCCATGCCTGGGGCTTTCCTGCGGGCGAGGTGGGGCCCCCCTTCGTGTGTGACTGAGCCTCCCCCCACCTCCCGCTGCCTAATCCAGGGTCTGCCCAGGTGCGGATCTCTCTCTCCCCCCTCCCGCGAGGACTACGGGAGACAGCCCCCTCCCTCGAGCCCCCTCCTCCCCATCCTAAACCCCAGCAGCCACCCCCACCTAGCAGCGGCCTGCCCCTCACCCGCTCCAATACCCCCCTTCACCCCAATCGCCAAATACCCCTACCTCTGCGTGGGCCGCCACCTTGGATGACCCCAGCGTGTAAGGAACAATGGTGAGAACCGCCGTAAGGTGGCGCCACTGCCTCCCCAGACCCCCTACCCGGCAGCGCCACTAAGCACCGCATAACCAAGCACCCACCCCAGACCTCCCCACTGTGGGCAGGCAGAATGAGAGGAGAAAAGGGGAGAGAGAAAGAAGAAGAGAAGAAGAGAAAAAAAAAAGGGGGGGGGAAAGAGTACAAATTTGTCCCCCAGTGCCATCGTCTTCAGCCAGTCCCCAACAGCTCCACAGCCCAGTCCAGCACATACCCCCCTGCCCTCCCGACCTGCGGTGGGACCCACCCGGAATCTGCTTGCTACTGCCGCCAAACCCCTTTAACCCTTGCCACCCAACCTAACTACGAGCCCTCCTCCAGGCAGCTAACTTCTATAGAGCGTAGTCCACCACAGTACATACCCTGGGCAGGGGTGCCCCAACTTCACAACCAGGCAGCCAAGAGTCCCGCTACTTAGGGGCTGAGGTCCGATGGGAGCCCTGCCTGATCCGACAGCCCCCGGGGGACCGCCACCAGGCACAACAGGTAACCGCTACTCTTCTGGGCCATTCGGCCCTCCTCTGCGTCGTGGTAGCTCAGAATCCGGATGAAGGTTGTGTGCAGCCTCGTCAGGGCCCGACGCCCAAGCCGGGGGCTCCCCCAAAATCCAGTTCGGGACAGCGATATGGGGAAGGCCAGCATTCCGGAGGAATCGGGGGACATCGTTGGGCCAAAGGAGCACATACCACATATTGCCCACCCGGGCCTGCAGGCTAAAGGGAAAACCCCACTTGTACGGGATTCTTCTTTCCTGGAGCAGGCGGGTAAGCGGCCGCAAGGCCCGCCGGGTATCCAGAGTTGTCTGCGACAGGTCGTGGTACAGGGCCACCGGGGCGTCCATGTAGCGGAGATCAGGGCGGGAACGCGCGGCCTTCATCAGCTCTTCCTTGAGCGGGAAGGACGTCAGGGCGCAGATCAAGTCCCTCGGCATCCCATCACGCCGGGGCGCCCACAGAGCCCTATGCGCCCGCTCAATGCCAAAATCGTCTGGTGCTGCCTCCCCCAACAGTTGCGAAAACAGGCAGGTGAGTAGCTCATGTGGCAGCTCCCCTTCAGCCTCAGGCAGCCCCCGGATCCTAATGTTGTTCCGCCGGCCCCTATTGTCGAGGTCTTCGACCTGCCGGCGGAGGGCTAGGAGCAGGTTCCCCTGCCTGGTGGTCGCAAGGTCCGCAGCCTGTTGCCGATGGGTGGTCTGAAGGTGCTCGGCATCCAGGGCATCCACGCGGTGTTCCAGGGCGGTGAGATCCGCACGCACTGCGGCAATCTCCTCTCTGATCACCGCCCGCAGCTCAGCCACCATTTCAGACCTGTCCCACCTGGTGAGCATGCTGGACGAGATGGCAGCAATGTCTAATGAGATTTGGGAGAGGGCAGCCGGCTCATTAGTGCCACGAGATGAGCCGGCCATGCTGGAGCTGGGTGAGGCGGGAATCGGCAGATCAATGGCGTCCGACAGACCCGGCGGCCCTGCAAGGTAGTCATCCATCGGGCCGGTCTGGGACCGCAACAGAGCCCCCCCGGGCTGTCCAGCACTGAGTGCCCGCTTAGTTTTCCCCATCCTAGAAGGGTTTGTACAGGTCTGGATGCTGTAAATTACGGGCTATACAGGGTGAGGCCTAGGAGCACAGGCACCGTGCGTCTCACTCCATCCTAGGTCAGGCCACGCCCCCCTGTAGTGCGTTTTTTGTCTCTGTCAGGGAGGTTCATGTATTCAATGGATTGAGAGTTACAAAGGTTATAGATATTGCTCAAAAGAGTGGGAATAACTTATTGCAGAGAATTGGCGTTAGCGGCGATAGGAAAGAGGTGAACTCGAAAATAAGTTTGAGTTTCTCCCACAGGTCCAGGGAATGAGTTATGGCTGGTGAGGTGGGTGGGGGGAGGGCCTGGGGGTCCTCGGTCTCCACATATATTGTGATGGGTGTTCTCACCCCAGGATGGCATGTTCAAGGTCTACCCATCGCTTGCTTTCAGGTAGTGTGTGCCACTGTTGCACCTGTGCTAACTGGGCTGTGTGATAGTAGTGGAGGAAGTTTGGTAATCCCAAACCTCCATGGGTTTTAGGCACATACATCCTGGCTCGTCGCACTCGTGCCTCTTTTGCCGTTTGTAGTCTTTTAAAGTTGGAAATCTAGGGAGAATGTCTGGAATAAATACAGGAATCATGGTAATAAGTTCATTTTGATAGTGGCCATTCTCCCTAGCCAAGATATACCCATTGCGTCATAGAGTTTCAGGTCATCATGTGCAGTGAGAAGCATTGGGGCGTAGTTTAATTCATAGGGTTTAGTGAGGTCGGCCGGTATTCGTATTCCTAAATAGGTGAATGATGGGCAAAGTCCCCATAATGGACAATATTTGAACAGGATCGAACCCTATAGGTATCAGTTCAGATTTGGATAGATTTATTTTTATTTAGGGCCACGTACGTTATGATTGGCAATAGTGTATCTGTATCTGTCACTGAGTTTGGTAGGTTCGTGAATATGAGGAGAGTATCGTCGGTATATGCTGCCACCTTTCTGCGACCCGAATTTAGAGGCCAGTGATGTCTCTATTGAGGCGGATGGCCTGTAGGAGTGTTTGCAGTGATAGTGCAAAGAGAAGGGGGGACAGTGGACATCCCTGTCGGGTACCATTGTAAATTTAAAATGTTGGGGCTACTATATTTGGTAGGAGGACCTGTGCTGTTGGTGCAGTGTAGAGGGTCTTCAGGAAGTTTAGGAAGTTTGGTGGGAATTTGAGATGTGTCAATACCTGAATGGCCAGGGAAGTCGGTCAAACGCCTTTTTGGCATCCAAGAAGATTAGTGCTGTGGGTAGCTTGTGTCTTTGGGCCTCCAGATTGAGTCTATATTTCGCCTAGTATTGTCTATGGCTTGTCTGTTAGGGATGAACCCTACCTCATCTGGATGGATTATTTGTTCTAGGTATGGGTTTAGCCTCGTCTCTAGCACTTTTGTGATGAGCTTAATGTCAGAATTCAGTAGAGAAATCGGGCGATAGTGTCCTGGGTCTAGGAGGTCTTTCCCTGGTTTGGGAATTGAGCATACATTGGCGGTGATCATGTCCGGAGGGAGGGGTTTGCTTTGAAGTAGGGCATTGAACAGCCTACAGAGGTGGAGGAGCAGTAGTTAGCTAAATATTTTGTAATATAAGGCAGTGAAACCATCCAGACCAGGACTTTTGCCTGTCTTGCCAGACTGAAGGGCTATTTTAAGTTCATCAACGGCTATCTCGTCGATAGAGCTTCCCTGGCAGCTGATGACAATTTAGGAACTTTCAGGGGGGCTAAAAATCTGTGGATATGGTTCGTCAAGATCGGCGAGTTTACAGCTGAGTCGGGGGAGTGATTATAGAGATTAGAGTAGTAGTGGACGAATGCGCCAGCTATGGCTTCCAGATCATCTGTCATCTTTCCCGTGGTTATGCGGATTTCAGAGATCTTCCTGTTTTCGAGTTTGGTGTAAGACGGTTTGGCAGCATAGAGTCTGCTTTGTTGCTCTTTTTATAAAATTTTTGCTTAGTCCACAGGAGCACGTTGGAGGTATCTGGCATGGTGACTTGTCGCGGACTGCGGTTAATTGGGTCAGTAATGTTTCTGTTGGTTGCCGTTTATGTTTTTCTTCTAGTCGTTTAAGTTCAGACATAGCGTCTGTGATCCCTTGCACTCATTACTTTTTAGCTTTCGTAGCTAGAGAAATCAGTTGTCCCCGAACTATTATTTCTATCTGGTAGTCTGCCTGTCATGTCAACAATGAGGGAAAGCCAAAAGTCAAGGATACCAGAATACAGGGAAGTCAAAACGAAGCCAAAGTCAAAACCAGAAAATAAACGCTCAGGAACACACTCTCGGACAACCACTAAGGGAAAACCACGACAGGGCAATGTTGAAGAAATAGGTGAGTTTAAATAACCATCTTGTGGATCCGACTGGCCGTAACGGGCCTTTGACCCCAGAACGTGCGTGTGAGTCCTTTGCGCGACGTCACGCGCATGTCAACGTTGTCATTACCGTGGGTGGACGCAGGGTTATAAATTGGAATGGATCCGCATTAGTAGTACCTCCATTAATGCCAGGAGGGCATTCGTCATTACGGACACTACAAGATGAGGATGAACATGTGATACTGCCACAGTGTTTATACTAAAGTATTCTTTGAAGTTGGTGCGGAGAGTTTCTAGTATCATCGTATTGTGCATTAAGAGCGGGTTGAGGCGCTAGGTCCAGGTTCGGGTGATGTTATGTAGGACTAAACACAGGTAGACGTTGGCTTGGTCAAACCACAAGATATTTCCAATGGTAGTCTGTGTAGTCCAGGGTTGTTTCTTGGGGGATATTAGGAATCTGTCTCTCCTGGAGTAGGAGTGGAGCGTGTGGGAAAAGTATGTATAGTCAATTGTGGAGGGGCATTGTGCTCTGCAGATATCTAACAGGTGGAAGAACTCTATAAAGCGACTGAATAGTCAGTTGTTCCTTGTAGGTTGGGAGATTCTGCCATCTCGTGGTCTTCTATCGACCGCTAGCATTGTGGTAGCATTGATTAGCAATGATTATGCCTGTATGGATGAGGGTGGTGATGTGGGTCTGGAAGGTGTCCCAGAACGTCTGGTCTGGAAGGGTGGGAGCGTAAGTGAAGCAGAGCGTGAATTGACTTGTGCCGATTTTCCCTGTCAGGGTGAGAAATATTCCTCCCAAGTCTGCCATCGTCAATATGTCAGTAAGTGGGCAGCTGGAACGCAAGACGACGGCTACTCCCTTGGGCTTAGGATCGGGGGAGTTGGCTAGGTAGTGGCGTTTCTAGTGTCGATTGACTAATAGAAAGTGGCGAGAGTGTGTGAAATGGGTCTCTTGTATAATGGCATTATGGGCCCCTGTCATCTTGTATAACTTGTTCACCAGTTACCTCAGGGACACAGAAAGTTTTTCCCTTGTCATACCCCTAATTCTTTTGATGGCAGTTAGAAAGGGGAAGATGGTACTTTGCAGTTCAGCTTGTATGCTCCATGGAGAGTTCGTGGTTATGCAAGGAAGTGGGAAAATTGAGGTAAAAGTGAGAAAAAGTAAATGAAAGAAAAAAATAAATAAAATAGAATAATTTTAATAAATAAATGAAAATTAAAAAATAAATAAATAAAAATAAATAAATAAATAAATTATAGGTAAAACCTACGAGCAGGGCAGTGTCCTGGGTGATACAGGGGTAGTCTGGCTATCCTCGGGAGTCCCTCAGATGGGTGGTTGGCTCTGATATATTTGGAGGTCTGCGTGTGGGATTAGGCTGTGTCACGTCGTGTTTTTCTGGTTTTCTGGTCTATGTCTGGTTTTCTTTGTTGCTGGGTTTCTGAGTTCATTCTCTTATTCTGTCCCTGGATTTCCCAGTCTCGTGGATTCACTTAAATGTTTGTTTTATGTTGCCACACCCGTTTGTTTTCCCCTTTCCTTTTGTTTCAGCTTGGACCTGCAGCAGTGTTTTCATGTCTCTGCCCTTTCTTGCAGGTAAGTGCTATTATGGTTCAGTGTGGTTGTTTTAGCATACATTAGGCAGTGTAGGGCCTGCCAGATATGGGGTACATTGGCGTTGTTGGCAGGCTTATGCAATGTATGATCATATAATGTGACTAAACCCCCATACTTTTCATGATTATCTATGTTTCCTCTTGTTTTACCTTGTATCTCTTGTTTTGTTTTATTTTGTCTTGTAATCCCAGTCAGGGCCGCCATCAGGGCATGACAACCGCAACGGTTGTCATGGGCCCGGTGGTCTTGGGGGGCCCGGACTGCTCAGGTCGTCCGGGCCCCACATTCAGTGGGTACATACCAGGGTCGCAGGGGGTCCTGCGACCCCGTATGTACCCACTGGGCCAGCCTCTTCTCCTGGGGGGCACAGCAGCCGGTCACCTTAGGGCCCCCCCAGAGGCTGGCCCTGCTGACACCCGGCGGTCGGGCGCGCGAGCACTCTCCTCTATGTGCTTCCTCTTCAGCTCCCTCGCGTACCGTACTGATGCCGGAGAGTGCTCCCTCGCGCGCCCGCCCGCCGCCGGGTGTCAGGGGGAGAGGAATGAAATTTGAGGGGGGGGAGAGGAATGGAATGAAATTTGAGGGAGGGGGAGAGGAAGGAAATTTGAGGGGGGGAGAGGAATGAAATTTGA